AATCCTATAAGTTATAAAAGCTTTTTTTGATGAATATCCAGGATGAGTATCATCCAATCAATTAATGGAATTGTAACACGATTGCATGTACGCGCAACAGTACGCCATCATGTCGATAATCGTTTATGACATATATAACATAATAATTTACTATCTTCTACAGTTCAGCGCGATAGTATAGAAGTCACGGTAGCTTCGGGTTGATAAGCAAGTATATACGGGTTTTAATTAAGATGTTAATCTCTCCCATCTATAGAAATCTTAATGGCGGCATTAAAATCGAACATATATAACAAAATAGAAAAAAATGACAATTCTTATACTTAATTGGATTCGTCTGCTTCCTCTTTAAGAGAGACATGATAAAGATTGAACTTGGTCGCTTTGTTTTTCGCGAAACTACTTTAATTATTATTCACGAGAGTAAGCAAATAGGTATCACGTTCGCTAGATACAGCTCGTCTTCTTGAGAACTTGTACGCCACCCGCTGTCGCTCGTTTACGAAAAGCCATTACCATCCCGATCGCGGTAAAACTTCATTGATTATCTACTATCTTCAGTACAGCGGCCCGGAAGTATGTAGTCAATCATGCGTTGATAGATATCCGATGGATATAGGAAATTAATATATACATATATGTGTGTGTGTGTGTGTGTGTGTGTGTGTGTGTACGTGCGTGTACATACGTGCTCGAACGTATTTATTGATATACATGAAGAGAGCCCATGTGAAAAGCTGTCGTTTGAGCTTGATGCTCGTTAGGTTGAGTTTCCACAAATAGGTGAACGTAACCAGAGACGCGTTTAGCGTCCATTAATCGCGCTCGCGTCATCTCGTAAGACATATACTTTGCGAATAGTCCGTTATTCAGAAGCGATAATATCGGGAATGTCCGGTCATTATTCCTTTTATACGATTTTTCGCTAAAAGACTCGCACATTACACAACGCTCGCGTCTCACATCTGCGTCGACTTTGCATCCGTTCAAGGACAAGCTGGTGCATCCGCGCGCGCATACTTGACATCAATATCGCTTATCCTTTCTCTATCTGTGCGCATCAAGTACAATTCGATCGGAAGAAAGTAGTGTCATTAACGATTCGCGCTTGTTAATGCCCTCTCGTCTGCCCGAACGTCGACGCTTATCGATGGCTATCGCGGTAAATGTCGCGCCGAAATTATCCACTCGTTAATATTTCATCGACCTTCGATTAACGTCAAAATCAGAACGCGGGCGACGTGTTCAGTTTTACTGCGGCGATGATGATTTATCGTTCGGTCACGGGTGAGAAAATTCATGCGTGTTCCACCGCGTGCGCGAGTCGGCGATCGGGGACGTCCAAAGAAACGAAACCTCACTCGGCCGACGACGACGGAAAATTGTATGTGTAACTTGTACGGGCTATTAAACATTACGGGGAATTTCTTCCCGTAGTGATGTACCATATCGATAACTCTCCCGGTGCCGCGCGCTGATGGCATGAGAAAAGGTAAACCAAGATTCGCTGCAAGTATTTATCGCGATCTTCCTATCCATGCTCGATTGGTTACGGAATTGGGGCAGGGATATTAAGTCCGAGTGTGCCACGATTTTTTTCTCGGTCAAGGTCGTTACGTTTACCTTGAATCTTCAAATTTAACATTATTGCATTAGTTAGCTGTCATTAAAAATTAAATGCTTTTAAAAATTAACGAACCGTCCATCGCAGAAAAATATTTCTACGTACGTTAATATTATTGCGCATACTTTATTATTTATAATACTTTTTATTAAAATAAAAATAAACATTTTTAATATATATGTATATCTGCCGAATATATGTATACGGTGTAAAAAAAAATGAATTAATATTGACAAAGAGAAACATTTACATTGCTCACCACGGTACATCGAAAGCGGTCCCGCTTTCTCGCGACACACCAAGTTATCAATAACGTCCCAAAGCTGTCCGATTCAACAACTGCTCATCGAAATCCGATTCGCTCATTTATTTTCGATAAGATCACTGAAGCGTTTTAAGTAATCAATATCGCGTCGAAATGTCAATACGCGCTGGTAGGGCGAATCTCATTACCTTTCGCTGCTAAGGCCATTGTGTAGCCGAACTTCATTATCCGGACTAATTATTTCAAAGTTAGTCGAACAGTTCGCCACAATGTAATGGCGAAGGAAACGGTCTTAGTGCCGAGAGGTCTCGAGATAGAGCAGCGGGTGGAAGATAGTGCAAGAGAGGGGAGGGAAACAGGGGGTGAGATAAGGGGGAGTGAATCGCGCCGAGAACATAATATCGCTTGGTACAAGGCTCTCTTGCCTTTGTTGCCATTCATTAAGGTAATTACAGGAACCGATTTTCCCGCGAATGCTTGGGCGCAAGTAAGAATTGAATACTGGTGCATTTGGCATAGAGCACTGTATATATATATATATAAAGTTTCTCCCAACGCGAAATACCGCTCCAAAACTGCGTGACGAATAACCGTACGTCCGACGAGGCTCTTAAATTATTTACGATCGTATACTTCATCAATTACTTCATCTCGGTCAACATCCGAAGCTATAAACATCGGGATTAAATTCCGAATCTAATCAAGGAGCTTATATGTTAACGTCAGCTGCTAATCCAGCGGGATACGCATCGATGCTGTTACATGTCTAGAGGAATATGCTCTCAGCTTTGTATCATCTAAACATGGAAATTGCGTTGTAACGTAACTTTTTTACTCGATGTAAAGTAGAGTTATATTAACGGTCATACCGCGGTCAAGAAAATATTTTTCCTCGCGTAATTTTAATCGGATTTACATATTAACATATTCTGACTTTATCTTTAGAAATTTAATTTCATAATGACTTGGATGAAAAAATTGAGTATATATTGTGATAAGAATATTTCACTTTAATATAAACATTTTGAAAAACTCTCACAGAGAGACAGACAGGCATCTGTCGTTTCTTTGAAAACACATACTTTCTTTTCAAAACTTATGAATCAGAATAAAAAGCGATTTGTCAGAATCTGTAAAGGCGAGCCGACATATTATAACAACCAGAATCTGACGTATGAAAAATGATATTGAATGATATTCGCGTTAACATGTACGAGATGTTTCCACACGTTATCAATCTTTTATTATATATATATATATACGATTTTTAGTTTTTGCACTTTTTTTTACACCGTACAACAACGTGGCACTGCCGCGATGAGACTTTCATACGCTTTCACAGAGAATAGTACGCATCTCTATATATGTAGATATTTCCAATAATAAAACAAATATCGCGCCATAAGGGGAAAATTCTACGATTTAACGGAACAGGGAATAGCATATTGCGCGCACTCTCTTCGTTCTGTTTTCAAGAAGTTGTGTGAAAAGTGCCGACAGTATTCTATTCGATTCTTAATCAAGCGTGCGATCGATAACACACACACGAATGTAGGCGTACACTTATCACGTTCAAAGTGCTGATTCGAGGGATCGTTCTATTATATACGACCCTCATTAAGTGTGGAACTCTTCTATCGGTGCAGGTAAGATTACGCTACCAGTGAAAAACCGTTAACTTCTTTATGCAATACCGTTTGCTACTCACGCAGAATTCTACTCGGCGATTTCAACATCGAGTATATATATATATATATATATATATATATATATATATTGTGCGATGTTTCTCTCGCATTATTATACGTCACGCACAGTTCAATCGACACTGCATGGATATTCTTGGCATTGGTACAAAAGAGGATAAGATACGATGGGAGTTACAAGCGAGGTCTTTTCGTCTTCCTTACGTTATACGAGAACTCCCAAACAATCTTCAATTCAATTACGTCGAAAGTCAACTTCACTGAGTACCTCGAAAGTAATCGTACGGCTGCTCGAAAGGGAGGAGAGTGAGGAAGAGAGGTCTTTCGAGAACGTCAGGCATCTCATAATTCCGTTTCATTTTACCGCAGCATCGCGAGGCACGAGGCCAAGAAAATTGTAGGACGATAGGTCCTCCCGACAGGACCCGACCGCAGGATATCCTGGACGCGGCGCGATTATGCAACGACATTTGCACGTGCATTTCGAGGACTGAGACCAATCAATTATCCATCCCGGATCGCCATCGAGGGATCGGAAGATCGGAATTTCTCTCGAGTGTGCGAAATCGCCGGGACGGAAAATTGTTTTTTCGCGATTTGCCGTACGTAGCTGTACGTTTTACGTACAGCTATATAAACTGCCGCCGCGGATGGAACTTTATCGATTTCATCGGGAATACAGCGCGCATCGTCAGTGGATTGGGGCATACACGTCGTCCAGCAACCGGCGAGACGTGAAAACGCGAAATGGAAAAAGAGCCCTGAACCTCGGTGCGCACGACACATCGGCGGGCAACGACATTTTTTGCGTTTAATTGGAAAAAGAGACTCGTACGCGCGCGCGAGACAAGAGGATGCGGATTTTTTTCCCTCTCTCTATATCACCAGCCTATTTCCGCTCGATGATCCTGATCGTTCCTGATATTCCCCAAAATTGTCGGGGGTTCACTGCGGTCCGTACCGCGAACGCGGCTACGACGGAAGGAAGAAGAAGATTCCTTTAACATCGGAGCTGAGAGAAGTTCACACTCTATCCGGTGAAATATCCGTTCCTGTTCGCGCGCACCGGGATGACGCGCAAGATAGATCGTTGCCCGTTTTTATTCGCGCTTACATCGGTGTGGTCCGTGCACGACAGCATCTCACCGAATATCTCGGATATCTCGGCGACGTCTACTCCGTAACCCGTTCCGGGGCGACAGGAAAATGATCGAAATCGCCGTCCGGTGGAATCTCGTCGATCTTTTGAGACTTGCGTCGAACTTTACGATTTCACTGATATACGAGCCGCTCGATACACTGTTTATCATCCTCGCACACCTCAGGGGGAAGAGAGAGAGAGAGAGAGAGAGTACTGCCGGGGCGCCATAGAAGAGATGTGTGTCTTTTTCATCGGATCACGTACCTGGACGAATTGCGGTGGACCCGCGCCGGTAGAAACCAGAGTAATTCTGCGGCGAAACGTGTGGCGGATCACGCACGTAGGGAAGTCTCTCCTGGGCACTTGAAGAGGCGCTCTCTCTCGCTCCCGCGTGTCCTTGGACTTGAGCCCCGTTCACGGCCACAACCAACACAGAAATGCTGGGATTGCAAGGCGTGCGGCCACTTTTCCTGCCGGTACCACCAGGTGGGGGGATGTGCCCGGTTGCTGCTGGCAGGTGGAATGCTCAACATCACCGCAACGTACTCACGAATTATTAGTGCGACGGGACGCCTCCGAGGAGAGGGAGAGAGGTAGCGAGAAGAAGAAGAAATCATGGTGGTGGAGGTGGCGATGGTGAAAGAGTGGGGTAAGGGATACACAGAAGGAGGAAGGTATGGGGCCCTCTGCGATTCGGACGGTGTGATTTCAAGTACGTTCACCGGCTACACGCTTCCGCGGTTCCGCGGAAGGTACCTTTCGGATTTCTGACCCCGCGCGCGAGAGCTTAAAGCTCTCCCGAACGCTCGCGAGCTTTTTACCATTTTTTTCAAATTCCAATTCATTTTATAATCGTATTTAACGAACTTGTGATCAATATATTAATCGTCGTAAGATTTAGCAGTGTATGTTGAGTAATGGATGTATTATTGCTTGGAAAGTCTTTCCAAATTATTTCCAAGCATGGGCATTTTTCTAATAATATTTATTGGACATAAATTCCAGCAATATATTAAAGAAATCAACTATATGTAACGTATGTGTTAAATTCATCGAGTTAGTGCGAAATGATGGTGCAGATGACGCTTACACCAAAATCATAAATCAACAAAAGCATTCTATAAACTAATTACTTCCGTCTCTATCATTTTCACATTCTTCAACAATGTACATATGCTTAATGAACGAAACTGTAAAATTAGGCTCGCGCGTCTCGAGCTTAATGGCCGCTACGTAAGCGCAAAAGGTACTTTCCTAACTTTATTACTATTAAACGACGTGATTTGAAGTAGCGGTTTTAAATTTTATGACGTAGTAAGATTGCATGCGACATATCGCATGCGTGCGACGAGTGCATAATGTCGACACTCCGAACCGGTGAAGCCGCGATACTCTTTTATTCATCAACGGCGCGATCTGAAATTTCAATTATGCTATTGCTCATTCATTTTCATCGATAGTTAGCATCGAGCGCGTGCTATAAACGAGATGTTGTGATCATATTCATTCACAGCTGTAAATATGAACACACCATCTTCAATCGTGCGCGACACACACATTCTCACTCTAAGGCTTCGCTATATAGTATACTGCACTATCTCGCGATCATTGCGTGACAATTCGTTGCCAATAATGAGAAACTTGAGTTATTGTGCACGGTTATCTCTCCATAGTATATAATTTTATCTCTCATTTTTCTCAAAATTAAAACATTATCTTCATTTTATATATTAAACATATATTATATAATGTACATAATTTACACAAATTTAATATTTATAATAAGATGAAATTATTAGTTTTTAATTTATTATAACTGGGAATAATAAATGGGAATGCTATCTCGATGACTTACATGTGTAGGTACACGCGAAAAGCTATGTTTGAAAAGAAATTATTTTACGAGAGAAAAATAATATTTATTAGATTTATGTCAATTTATCAAAGGAAGAAGAAAATGGTCGAATTAATTTTAATTACATCTGTATTATATTTAATTAAATCTGTTTTACAATTTTAACGGATATAATTTCATAATGTATTAAATTCCATAATAAACGTTTGTAAAAATAATTTACTTGATTTTCAGATAACACAATTCATTACATCAAATACGCGAGAGTGCCGTGAGACAGGAAATGTAATTCTCATCTCGCATGCCGAATATGTTAATAAAATTTCCACTTGGAAAACACCGAAGTACTTCCATTAAATGCATATTCTCGGAAGAGAGTCAGCTATCTACGGGTTTATTTAACCAGAATACACTGCTTATCTCATTTCAATAGTGTAATTGAACAGCACCTATCTGAATGTCGATTATCATACTCGAAGATTCATATTGCGAGTTCGCTTGAAGAATGCAGGACGGACGAATTATTATGACGACGAACTGCTAATGAATACCCATTTAGATTCAACCTACAATTAGCGTTTTTCTCTTTTTGGCGCATATAATCGAACACCGCTATTTTAATATACCTTACACGCGTGCATGCAAGTGCCAGGCTTAAAAAGCTCGTTTAAAGCTATCAATAAGAATTATCACATATAAATCATCCTCAATCATCCAAATCAGTGTTTTTCGGATAATGCTTGAAACCACGATAGAGTAAAAATAAAATTACTAAGAAAGGATAAACACGCAATCTTTTTTATTCGCTTCTATTCTCTTTTATATATCTTCAAATTATTTTTAGGGAAACAAGGAATCCATGTAAGAATATATTATTAAAAGTTTCATTGATTTCTCAGATTTATCTATGTTTAAATCGAGTTGAAATAATATCTATACTAATACTTTCGGTCCAACAAGTTATTTGTCACTGCTGGTCATCTTTCTCGCTGAATTGAGATTATAATTAGCAGCGGTCTCTTCGCGGAATTGCGTTTCTCATGAAACGCCACGGTGCGGTATCGTGATACGGGCAAGATTCCGGAATTCCGCGCTGACGTTATCTCCGCAGTAGGGAACGACGATTTTATAAATTGCCGTAAGCAGATACGATCCCGTTCTTTAAATCGTGCGAATACGAGTGCCGCATTAAAGCGTTTTAAAACAGACGTTGTAAATTCCGGAGCTACTTTGCGCTACATTGAACCGCACTACATCGCATTGAAATCCGACCTGCGCGATCGTTGTCTGCGTGATTCTCATTCTCGACAACATGCTTTAAAGCTTTTCACGACACGCAACTGTCGCCGCAGCCCTTGATTCGCACTTCTATGCGTGTATACACACGTGACACATGTGATTGTCACTGTGTGTCACCGTCGTTAACCCCGTAACTTATTGTAATCCAGTTGCGCTAACTCGCTTAGTGGCTTAATAGCTATGAGAACTGTCCGAGACTGGATGAACGAGTAAGTAGGACAAACGGCCTGTCGTCGAAGTCGCGATCTGTCAGGATATTTATAATCGCGACACGAATAAAAATTTTTCGATATCTGCATTTTTCAAAGCCTACCCGTTAGTAATCGCAGAGGCATTTAAACCTTGTTTTCAAGGTTTATAAATACTTTTGTAAATAAAATTTTTGATGTTCCGAGATATGAGAGATATCTCTTTGAACAGATAAATGTATAGAAGTTGTATTGAGAAAATTATTATACTATGAAGAAAAGAGAATCAACTTGACTGAAAATTTTGCATGTATTTATTTTATCATTCTGGATCAATAATCGTGGATTTTTATTACATGTGTGTCAAAAATTAAATTACTTTTAGAAATTTTTTTTGTTTTCCAAAATTTGAAATCTAATGAGTAGATATCATAAATATTCAAATAAAATTCAGATCGCGTAAAAAAATATTGCAATTATTTTTTTGATTAAAATTTACATCTACAAATCACTTCGTGTGAAATTGACTATTTTTGCGCGTTTGCAGGTGGATGGATGTGAATTAGTATCGTGGCTTGAGCGCGTATGTATACCACGATGTGTTTAAACTTTTCCATAATAAATCTCATCGCCATTTTACAATTTACACTGAACGAGTGCGTGTGGAAAATGATATTCCGTGGACGCTTAAGGCGATGATTTTGCGCGACACGGCACTGTTTCACGGCTACCTTTCGCGCGGCGCGTCTTGTTTAACGGATCACGAAGACACACACACACACACACACGGCGAATTTTCTTGTTACAATCAGTGGACCTGGACGAACTCGTTTAGTTATTTCGCGGTGAAATTAACATATTTACGGCGCGAACCCCTCAGGGTACGAATTGTAATTTTGGGAAGCGGATGAGTGCAGCGTAACGTGCATGCAATTTATATATGCACTGATATCTATGTATAGGTACGTATATATCAGTCAATTCTTCTATACATGTATATATATATATAAACGCAAAATATAATCCAGACACTATATGAATGTGTTGAAATTTGGCGAGTCTTCGAAATCGTTATCAATTAAAGCTGCTTACGAAAAGACGTGTTATGAATGAATAGAACGCGAATAAATTTTTATATAGTTCTCTGCAGCGAGGATTTTGGTTTTTCTAAAATATTGAAAACGTTATTCAACGAATATGTATATACATATATATATATATATATATATATGTGTGTGTGTCGATTGCGGTAAACCGATATCTAAAATACAAAAATATATAATCCAGTAAAAAAAAATACATGTAAATAAAAAATCCCTAAAGCTGGATTTTTCACATTCTGAAAAATTTATGGACAGTTTTTTATGATTGCATGCGCCAATTTTTCTCATATTTATCTTGTTATCCTGTTTATCCTGTTTATTCGCGACAAAAAGCAAATTTCATATACATGCACAAATTTCATATACCACCAATATATCTTATTAATGTCTTAAAATCGAGGTTAAAATAACACTATGCTCTGAGATTTAATATTATAATCAACCATGTGAAGTAGGTTATATCTCATGTTTCAAATCAGCATAAAATATCCAGTAAAGTTAAATTAGCCTATATGCGACGCGTTTGCTATTACTTCTTGTGGATACGGAGAGGCCTTAGCACGGACAAGTAAATGACAACGATTTGCTTTACATTTTGTTGCCCCTTGTCTCTCTCTCTCTCTCTCTCTCTCTCTCTCTCTCTCTCTCTCTCTAATCGTTTAGATATTCCGAGAATGTTCCAGCTCATATAACCAGAGTTGTCACTGCAAACAATGGAAGCTTATTCTTATGCTATATGAGATAATACGTGAGACTTTAGATCGATTATTGGTACAATTGTAATGATTTATAAATTTTTAATTAATTCATGCAGCTTTGTGTGTTTTTGTGTATTGTATTTCGACATACATATAAATTATCTTTTAACAATTATTGATA